TCGATCACAAGTACAGTATGGAGTACCTCAAGGCTCAGTACTAGGGCTGTTACTCTTCACGCTTTACATGTTACCCTTGGGAGATATCATCAGGAAACATGGTGTTAGCTTTCACTGTTATGCTGATGATACTCAGCTCTATATTTCTTCACGGCCCGGCGAAACATACCAATTTGAAATTCTGAAATAACAAAGGTGCTAATTATCTGACCTAAAACCTCCGCATGTAATAACCTAGAACACTGTCTAAGACTCGATGGCTGCTCTGTCAATTCTTTGTCATCAGTTAGGTGTGCTATTTGATAGCAATCTTTCCTTTGAAAGCCACGTTTCTAGCATTTGTAAAACTGCATTTTTCCATCTTAAAAATCTAAATTACTACCTATGCTCTCAATGTCAAATGCAGAAATGTTAATTCATGCGTTCATGACCTCAAGGTTAGATTATTGTAATGCTTTATTGGGTGGTTGTTCTGCATGCTTAATAAACAAACTCCAGCTGGTCCAAAATGCAGCAGCTAGAGTTCTTACTAGAACCAGGAAGTATGACCATATTAGCCCGGTTCTGTCAACACTGCACCGGCTACCTATTAAACATCGTATAGATTTTAAAATCTTGCTTATTACTTATAAAGCCCTGAATGGTTTAGCACCTCAGTATTTGAAAGAGCTCTTATCACATTATAGTCCTTCACGTCCGCTGCATTCTTAAAACTCTGGCCATTTGATAATACCTAGAATATCAAAATCAACTGCGGGCGGCAGATTCTTCTCCTATTTAGCACCCAAACTCTGGAATAACCTACCTAACATTGTTCGGGAGGCAGACACACTCTGTCAGTTTAAATCTAGATTAAGCTGGTTTACACATAACACACAATTGCGTTAAAGGATGGTTAGGCTGCATTAATTAGGTCAACAGGGAACACTTCCCATAACACCTGATGTACTTGTTACATCTTTATGAGGGATTTTTTTCTCCATTCTGTCACTGATGGAGTTTTGGTTCCTTGCCATTGTCGCCTTTGGCTTGCTTAGCTGGGGACACATCATTTCTGACAATATTGTCGACTCGATTGCACAGATACTATTTGAACTGAACTGAGCTGGATGATGACATCACTGAATCAATGATGAACTGCCTTTAACTGAAAAATTGAGTGTTTACTATCATCCCCTTGCATTATCAACACACCATTGTCCTGTTTAACTCTGTAAAGCTGCTCTGACACAATCTGCATTGTATAAAACACTATACAAATAAAGGTGACTTGACTTGACATGTCTACAGTGAATGAAAAGGGTAAATTCAAATGGTTTTACCAAGTTATTATTATCATTATTAGGTAGCATTGAATTGAGCTGGATAACTGGAAAATAATGACGGAATGTTGCAAGCATCACTGTATAACATTGCACCTAACCTCCAAATCTATATTTCCAAAGCACCTGATGTGCTAAGCGCAGGGGTGTGAAGTAACGAGTTACAAATAGTCACGTTACAGTAATTAAGTCGTTTTTATCAGTAATTTTACTTTTTTGACTAGTTTAAATATTGTGTACTTTTACTTTTACTTGAGTACATTTTAAGTGATGTATCGGTACTTTTACTCCGCTATTTTCCTCCGTTTGTGGTCGTTACATGCTTATTTTAATTTTATTTTTATCCATCAACGTGATTGGATAGTGAGATAGTAATAGGTCTCGTGACTTTCATCAAATCAAATTGTGCATAGAAAGCTTTAACCGCCAACTGTTTATCATGGCTGCTTTAAGCGCATTCTTCAAGCATCAGTTCAGTCGCATCTTCCTCTAACTTAATATGTTGAGGTAAATTTCGGATTTCTGCGTACTAAATGATTTGTATATATGCTTGCCTATCTACACGGCCTGAAATCTGGTGTGAGGTTGCGGGTATTGCGTACAGTGTTAACTCACACAAGTGCCACGTTCGGTAAATTCCCCGCTCACTTATGAGACGCGCACCAATCTGCACCTTATTAATAACCCGTGGCGTTAATATACTGCATCTGTGCCAGCGCCTGATGTAATAAAACTGCAGCTCTTTAATAAACGTTTTTTTTATTTACATTTTTTAAAATCCATTTTATACAATCCGCCTTCATTTAGCAAGTGCACTCGCGCATAAACAATTTTCAAGTTCAACAGCTCAGTACTCACTACTCAATACTCATGAGTACTTTTAAATAGGCTACTCTTTTACTCTTACTCAAGTAGTTTTTTGGACAAGTACTTTTACTCTACTCACACTACATTTTTTGGAAGTAATGGTACTTTTACTCGAGTATATTTTTTCAGTACTCTTTCCACCACTGGCTAAGCGTCATCATGCACGCTTAATGTGCCATTTTATCTGTCACAACCACACTTACTTCTCACTGTTATGTACTAAATTAGACCACAGATATTAAAAAAGGAACACTGCATTTGATTAATTAACATGCATTTTCTGAACACATCAAACTGAAAGTAAAAACTAGAGACACGTGTAGTCGTGTCACTCGTGTGCGGTGGTCTGTGGTTCAGGTGCTGGTGATGCAACACTTCAGAGGGCTGAGGGTGTTTAGTGTTGTGTGTGTGTCTCTGTCTGCGCCTGCAGCAAACACACTCACTTACTCTACGCTGGCTCCCGCCTCTCTCTGTCTGTCTCTCTCCACTCGTGAGGTTTGGACAGTTAACACCATGCAGCGCAATCTAGCACTTGTGCACTGCAGGGCTGATCGCTCCACATGACACATGTGATCCATGCTAGCACAGGTCATGTAGAAAGAGCCGGCGACGCGAACATGGTACGTGTTTTGTGTGTCTTCTGCAAAAAATGTGGTTAAACTGTAAACATCTGTGGCTGCAGCTCCCTGTCTCTATCTGAAGCGTGCAAAAGCTAACCGTTATGGTGTCTTCTCACCATCTTTTGTTTTGTTTTTTTCAATTTATAATCAGTCTCTTCACCTTCCTGTGTACAATTCGGTTGCAAATCTCAAAATAAAGGCTGGAAATATTGGGGTGCATGTCAAATGAAAAACGGTTTCCTGTTTGTGCACTCTCACTTTGAGAAGTTGAGCTCTTCGCACCTTTGCAAAATCTTCCCACAGTTGGGGCGTTGCATTTTTCTCAGTATCTGAAATCTAGCACCATTTTAGTCAGTTTAGTTAACTGAAACACATTTGTTTTCATCCCACGAGTGAGATTGAAATTATATTTTGACCTCTGAACTAGGAAACATCCCCAGTTTCCATTTCAGAGATCTGGTCGATCTGGTTTTCTGAGATGAGGGCATAAGATGAAGGTGTTCTTTTGCAAATTAATCACATAATGCTGAACTGTCTGTAAAATAAATCACTGGGACTGCAGAGGTGGAAACTTTTGTGACTTTAGTTCAGCTCCAACTCTAATCAAACACACCAATCATCCCAGATCAGGATGAGTTTGTTTCTTCATCAGGTTTGTAGAAATGTAGCATTGCATCAGTGTCTCAGCAATGGATGCTCTGCAGTGAATGGGTGCCGTCAGAATGAGAGTCCAAACAGCTGATACAAACATCACAATAATCCACAAGTAATCCACAGCACTCCAGTCCATCAGTTAACGTCTGGAGAAGACAAAAGCTGAAACAAATCCAGCATTAAGACCTTTTTTTTTTTTTACTTTAAACTCTTGCTTCCAGCTAAAATACAAATCCAGTATATTGCTTTCTTACAAACATGTAGATGTTCGCTTCACAAGACTTCACAGATAATTTCTGAAAAGCTAAAAGGAAATTTTAACAAAATATTACATTTTGGAACAAAAAGCCAGCTGTTTTTGTGCCAGTCCTTTCCCTCGTGTTAGTTTGGATTATACTAGTGCCATCTCGTGGCTAGAGCTTACTATTGTTTTCCATTTCTTTTCAACTGGTTTTCAGACTTTACACTGAGCATTTACCCTGATAGCACACAAACATCACAGAGACGTTTGATGAGTGTGTTTTCTTTGAAGCGTGTGCTTTTTAGTGTTTTCTCTTTTGCAATATGTTTCTAAAACCTTTACACTTGGATAATTAATTTAGACGATGTATGTTTTAAATCCTATTCATCAGAAGTTTGTACAAAACAGATGCTTTCCAGATAAAATATGCTTTAACACACATCTTGGAGATGCATCTGTAAATCTCACCATTTTGTAAAGAAAAACGTCAAACATTAAATAGATGTCTATTTTTACACGTGCACCTTTTTTTCCCCCAATACTCAGGACTTAATCGCAGCAAGATGTTCATAGGATTGTGAGTTTAATTGCATCAATTTAATTGAAGTATTTTGTTTACATGAGGTAAAGAACATTAAATAGATGTCTATTTTTACACATGCACCTTTTCGCAGCAAGATGTTCATAGGATTGTGAGTTTAATTGCATCAATTTAATTGAAGTATTTTGTTTACATGAGGTAAAGATGAATTGCAATCTCATTATAAGCACATTATGAGGAGCATGTAAACATATATTAACATGAATTAAACAAACCATGTGCAAACCTAGAATTTCTGGTTTCTAAATATATCTTGAATTTCTAAGGGTTCGTGCTCTCAGCAGCTACGTTTATCACACAAGGCTCAAATCATTGTTGGCACAAACCATGTTAATTATGGTAATTTATTTGTATTATTATTATTTACATTAACACTGTTTCCCTGCTGTCTTTGACACTGTCAGAATCTGCAAAGGATTTCTAGAAAATAACCAATTCACAGTGGTAACTCAAAGACAACATTCACTGTATATCTCAAGAACAGAAAACCACAAAAAAAATAATTTCCAGCGGCACTTACATTTAAGACAGATTGATTCCTAACCATAATGAATGTATGTATTATGCATGACATATGCACCTTTTTTTTTTGAGAGAGAGCGAGAGGTGTCATAAATGTATTTACAATGCAATTACAATTTCATAAATGTTAATCACAATGCAATAGAAGATTACTTGTCTGTAGTATAGTTGTAGGAGTTCTCGTGAGAATGTATGAGAGGTGGAGTGATGGACAGGGAGAAGGAAAATGAACATGAATGATGGAGGTAGGACTTGGTTCAAAATAAAGTGAGTTACAGAGTACCTACTAAGACGTTCTTCTTTTATTTTGAACCAAGTCCTACCTCCTTCATTCATGTTCATTTTCCTTCTCCCTGCCCATCTCCCCACCTCTCATACATTCTCACGAGAACTCAAAGCCCTTTTTACTAAAGAAGAGGGAAGCACAATTCTACCTCCTTCATTCATGTTCATTTTCCTTCTCCCTGCCCATCCCTCCACCTCTCATACATTCTCACGAGAACTCCTACAACTATACTACATTGTCAAACAAATACAAAAACTTGAAATCACATAGAGATTGCAGAGTGTACATGATATAGAAACATTACTTTCAATAATCTTGAAAATAGATTGGTATTAATAATACAACACAAACTCTGTGATGCGACAAAGTCATACAGGGACGATTCATTTCTTGAATTTGGGGACATTTTTATTGATTTTCGTGGCATTTCCAACCTTTCACACGAACACCAGACTAACTAGTAAAGTGTTATGTGTTGCACATTTTATTAGTGCAGAGATGAGTATGTGTACTGTGTAAAGAGTTTGCATCTAGCACTTACGCACCACAATTAAATTCTGTCAGCTGTCGCATACATACCAATGAACAGACATTTAGACGTTTATGTTAATGTGCAAAGCACTGAAAATTAAAATATGTGAATAAAGCTCTCTAAAAACTTCTGTTTTACCGCATTGACCTCTGTCCCATCATCACACTTGTGGTCTTCATGTGCACTGGAACACAAATACAGGAAGAGCGTCATGTAAACATGAGCAGACCGCAGCTGTGGGTATATGGGGACGGGCCCTTGGTTTCAGCGTGGGCTAAAGGAGGGTCTGACCATATGCTTTTTAACCATTAAGTAATTATTGAAATGAATTATGCTTGTTTTCCCAATTCTTAAACAAAATAACAAAAATGATTTATTTACTTATTTAACCAGGAAGGTCCTGCTGAGATACAAGCTGAGATAGTTGGAGTCAGAGCCGCGCATGCGCAATCGGACGGAGGCAGAGTCAGAGCCGCGCATGCGCAGTAGGACGCGCAGCGGCAGCATGGCGGAGCCCGCACAGAAACACGCGCTGGAGATGGTAAATCAAACTTCATTATTGACGCATTCTGTGTTTATGATTTTATTACATGTCAATATAGAAGACTTCGCATCCTCTACGGACAACTCTGGGTCAAATGCGGCAGTTCTGAGTGTCGCTACAGTGCGGGTTTCCTCGTGTTTCCAGAGCAGATCAACATTATACTAACACAAAACAAATGTACCAGATCTACATTAATACTATTGACTTGCCAACGTCGCGAAACTTTATAATTTAGCTTCAAGAGAATATATAAATGCTGTATAACCCAGGTGAGCGAACTCAAGGCAACAGAGGCGAACACATAACTTAAAACAGAAAACAAATACTATTTGTAGATAAATATTAGGCCTACTTTTTTATGTATACATATATATATATATAAATGGGGTTGTCAGTAAAATAAAAGAAAACTAGAATTAGACATTCCATGTAGGTGTACAATTCTTCCTCCGGCACGAGTTATTGTATTTTTCTGAGAGCAGTAACTGTAAATGATTATCATATGCAAAAATCATATGTAATATTACTATGTGCAGATGAACGAATGTGCTAACATTTAGTTTGTGTTCATTTATTTCAGTTTTTAATTTAGCAATTTTAACTTCTACATTTTAAAGTTGTAGCCTATTTTTTAATTTTAAAAAGCAAGTGTTTTTGTCTTGGAACATGATATTTATGTGTTAACCCTTATTTTGCACATAAAGTCATTCACGTTATTTTGTCAAGCAGAAGTGATTCATTAGCAGTTACGGGTAAATAACTAGAAAAATAACTGTAACACTATTTGTGCTACAAACCAATGTGTTCATAATTACAACAATAAAAAAAAAAAATTAAATTCCAATTGATCAAATCAAATGATCAATGAATCGGTCATAAAAAAAACAATGTTGCGGCTCTAGTTCAGTCATGTGAAGATTATTCCGATTTAAAAGCTCAGTTTAATCTGTAGAGAATGTCACAAACACTTGTTGCATCCAAAAGTAGTTGCTCTTAAAAAACCCAGCTGTGAAAACTTCTCAACCCGAAACGGTTCTTCTGCCCTGAAACAAAGCGCTTGGCTTCAGTTTATGAGAAATAATAAAAATATGTGCATTGATAATACATGGTGAATGATTTGGAATTAATGCATATACAACAAACTATATGAGGTGAATCCAGTAGTAAATGAAAGAAGTAATTACTGTTTTGAAATAGATATGACGGGTCGTTTATACAAGAATTGCACATTCAAGACTCACTCATTCATATTTATTAAAATGAGAAGAGAAACCAGTTTGTGACTTATGTACGAATTATTCGAGTGTAAAACCTATTTTAATAGAATGATATAAGACGATGTCTTCACTCAGAAAATATGCTAAAAGACATTTTTAAAAAGGTCTTTCCAGGAAGAACTTTAGAATTTTTCTCATTGATTAAATTGAAAGATTCTATCTGATTTGTATCAGTTCCGTTGCTGTTACTTGTATGTTTTTGTAGTGATTGCTTCTTAAGAAAATGTTATATTGTTGTAAATGATGTATGGAAATGATACTGTTAATGTTGCCATGAATATAGCTGTTGTTGCTGATACATACATGCATGCATACAGTCAACCCAAAAATTATTCAGAGAGCAGATATCATTTTTTATATTTTATTGTACTAGTGGGTGCAGGACACTGTAGTTCATTTATGTAAGTGAGGATAGCAAAATAAAGTAAACTGTGACATATTATACCCAAAACTAACGGTAAAATGTGGGACCAAAAATTATTCAGAAGCTTTGACCTGAGCATGTTTTTCTTTAATTGCTAATGCGATGTTTTTCCACCACAGACTGAACAACATGAAGCATTGCTTGGTAATTAGTTGAGCTAAATTGGCATTATCTAATTGTGTTCAGCTGAATTCATTACATACCTTTCTATCAAAGTTATCTGACATCATCAAGCTGAATTTGTTCTGACACAGTTTAACTCCGAGTTCTTTTTCTCAGCTGTGATAATGTGGGCAATCTGTGTAAATGATGTATTGTTTGGTGCATGACCAGCAGCCCTGTGTTTCTCCACACGCGTGTTGGACTCTGGAGAGTGCAGATGAGTGATGTTTGTGTTTCAGGTGCGGACGGACGGCGCAGACGAGGGCTGTGTGACGTTTGTGCTTCATGAAGAGGATCACACGCTGGGAAACTCGCTCCGATACATGATCATGAAGAGGTCAGACTGTACACGACTCACGTCTGCTTTCGATCGGCTCTCCCTCGTTTAGCATTGCCTTCGTGACATCAATGAGACGTTTCTGCCGAGACGAGTGCTAATGCTAATGCATAGATGCAAACCCCTCACCTTTCAGTGACAACTCACTCAAAATAGGTCACCAGTGAGATTTGCTTAGATCCAGTGAGAAAGTGTTTTTATGAGGGGGGGGGTAAATAAAGAACTGTTGTTTCAATAAGTTTTGTATAGTATTTTCTTTAGTCTTTATTAGTGCAGTCAAACGATTAATAGCGATTAATCACATTCAAAATAAAAGTTTTTTTTTGTTTTTGTTTTTTTACATAATATATGTGTATGTACTGTGTATATTTATTATGTATATATATATATATATATAAATAAATACACAAACATGCATATATATGTTTAAGAAAAATGTGTTATGTTTAGGGTTGCAAAAAGGTGGAAAATATTCCAGAAATTTTGGAACCTTTCCAGGATTTTTGGGAATATTACAGGGATTTTTGGAAAGTTTCCGGAAATTTACTGGAAATTTTCCACCCCTTTGCAACCCTAGTTATGTTTATATATTAAATATATTTATATATAATATAAAATATAATAATGTAAATGTATATACATGTAAATATTTTCAAAATATATACTGTATGTGTGTGTGTTTATATATACATAATAAATAAACACAACTTTTATTTTGGATGCGATTAATCGTTTGACAGCACTACTCTTTACTTAAAAAAAACTATGTCTAAAAAGGGTAATATTTTATGTATTTGAGGTCTGAGATGTGGGAATGGTGAAGAGAGAGAGAGGGCAAACATTTTGCATTTTAGGTCTAATCAGCCAATATTGTCTTAAATAGCCTGCATAGCAGTTATAGCGCCACCTATGGTCCAATCTTGATGAAACTTTGCATGATTGTTAAGAGTTATCTGCCAAATGTTTTCACCAAGTTTCGTACAAGTTTGAGTTTTTGTTTAGGTTTTATAGGCTTTTGGGTGTATATGGACACGCCCCTTTTCTAAATGACCCCGTTATAGCTAAACAAAGAACAAAATTCAATTTTTTTTAAATAATTATTGATCTAGAGAGTCCAGAGAATTGTGCTGCAGTGGTTTGACCGAGATTGAGCGAAAAACCTAGGACTAGTTCGCAAAAGTAGGTTTTTAATACAATTGAGAATAATTAATGAAATATTTGATTGACAGCAGTGGTTCTTGAGGCAAAGTTTCTCAGCATGAAGAGATCTATCAAATGATATGAAGATTGAGTGTATGTGTGAAAAATCATGCCTTATACAATCATTTATGAACTTGAAAAATGCAATTTCGCCCCCTAGTGGCCGATTTCTTTCAAAAATCTTACAGACCTTTAGAGCCATGAGTCGAACATGCCCACCGAGTTTCGTTTTGATCTGCCTCCGTTAACCTTGTCTAATAGGTGCTCAAACTTCATTGGCCGATGGCAACCATGTTTTTTGAGATACGCCAATGTCCTCTTAGACACTTATGGCACATTGGACAAAAACACTGCATACCAATTTTCGGATCAATTGGACTAATGCTTGCGTAGTTATAGGCATTTTTATGTTTTTTTCCATCTTATAGCGCCACCAAGTGGCAGAGCTGTGCAAATTTTTTTTTAACCAAAGATTGAGCTCTTACACAGGTGTACCAAGTTTGGTGAAGATATCTCATTCTGTTCATGAGTTATAGTCATTTTAGTAAAATTGGCCCCGCCCCTTATAAATGTTTTGGCGTCCCTATGCGACGGTGAGTCAAAATTTCAACTTTTTTTCTAATATTAATTATTGATATTCACTGTCCAGAGAATATTTCTGCAGTGGTTTGGTTTCGATCAGCCGAAAAACCTAGGACTAGTTCACGAAAGTAGGTTTTTAATTTACTTCAAAATGGTGGGAAAACCGGACCTCGTAGAGCGAATCTGACTTTGTTGGTCTTTGTCCGCCTTGACCCAAGGATTCCAAAAGTATAACATTTTTGAGTCTACGACAAACGGTCTAGGAGATATGCGCGATTTCACATTTTTGTTCGCTGTAGCGCCCCCTATTGGCCGAAATGTCTTCAAAAGAAATTGCGTGTGGATCTTCTCCTGTTTGCATCTGTGTAACAGCAGAGGAGTGTCTGTGTCTGTGTCTGTGTGTGTGTGTGTGTCAGCAGTGTGTATTCTGAGGCGTGTGGTTTGTTTCTGCAGTCAGGACGTGGAGTTCTGTGGCTACAGCATCACACACCCGTCAGAAAGCAAGATCAACTTCCGCATTCAGACGCGAGGTGAGAGACTGCTTCATATCTGACACACAGAGCTGAAACACTAACACATAATCATACCCATCTTTCTGTAGCACAGAGCTAAAACACAGCAGCTCTCACTTGGTTTTGTTTAGAAATAGCATAGCTCTTATCAGTTCCATTAGTGCAGTATTGAAGCAGTGAAACTAAAACACTCCGAATGAGTGATATAATCATAATTCCTCTAGTGCAGCGTTATAGCCTTGTAGTATCTATGATTGTTTCACATCTTTTTTTGTCATGCAAAGCACTGATTATCAAGCATCAGAATGAAGATGCGGTGCAGTTATTGAAGCTCAAGGGCTTTTTCTTGTAAGCACTTATGCATCTCTAGTAACATATAAGTAAAATCAGAAAAGCGCTGAAGACCCAGATATACTTCATGTGAAATCAAAGAATGTCATTTCAAACAAAATCAGGCCAAAACAAAGTTTGATCAGAATTTAAGGAGTTTAAAAAAAGTTTGCCAAAGCAATCCTTGAAAAAAATTAAAAATAAATAAATCCATATGACGTAACACATCCACATTAAATGACATACATTTCCACATCCTTATGATCAGATGCTTTTTAACTGCTGCAAGTCAAATACTTTAAAATAGTAGTAAATAATAAAAAAAAGTGTCATTCTCAAAGTCTAGTTCTTCTAATTGTGGTTTGGTACTGATGTGCAATAAAGCTGTTTCCAGATCATGATGTGAAATACTCTCACGTTGAGCTTCAGTCAATGTAAACTTAGTGTAGTTGTTCTCTGAAGTGCTCGACGTAATGATAGATGAATAAACAGAATATGCTACACACACAGCAAATAAAACATGATTAGGTTCTTAGGAAAATGTGATCTTTTCACGGTTTTAAGACTAAAAATTAATTTTAGATGAGATGTTAAAAATCAGCGTAATTCCGCAAATGCTACATTTCATCACTCTTTAAAAGAAAGGAAAAGTCCGTTTAGCTTTTCCCCCAGTTAAAATCATCCTAGTGGAAGAATCTCTCTTGTGTAACTGAATCCCAGATATGCCGCATGTTTATTTCAGTGAACAGAATGGGGCTGTTTCATAATAGACACTAAGAAAAGCGAGGATTAAAGTCCAAAACCTGACTTAAAATAACCTAACAAATACATCGGGACTGAAGCGGTTTCATTAACGGCCATTTAAGTTCACGCAGTCTCACTAATTTGATCCAGGTTCAGTGATGTGCACGCTGTTCCCTAACAAACATTTTGATAGGAAAGGATGACGAATACGAAAAAACACATACGAAAATTTCGGACTCGGTGTGCAGGGACCTTAAATGTTAGAAAGTCATGCAAATATATCAGTTTTTGCATTATATTTCCATTTGTTGTTGGACATTAAATGTGACATATGTAGAATTTTAATCCTACATACAAGTGTATTTTTATGATGGCAACTGTGTTAAAATGTTTTCATTAAAAAAAAAAAAAAAGGTCATTAAATCTTGGGCGCAATGCATTAAATACAGTTGGTTGTAGCCTAAATTTTTATTTATGTGATTTAAGTTGCATATTCTGTATACTTTTATTTCTGGACTGATAATAAAGTAAATGTGTATGTGAGAGAGTCAGCGGCAAGTAATATGAATGCATTCCTGAGCTTGAGCTTTGGTCATTTTGCTTTCGGAAACCAAGTCAGACTAACTGAAACAAGCCCGGCTTATTTGGTAAGCTAGTTTTATGACACAGCCCCAGGAGTATCGCTAGATCTGTGATCCCTGTGTTCATTATCTCTCTGATGCTGTGCAGATGGGATCGCAGCATCTGAGCCTCTGCGCAGCGGCCTGAACAGCCTGACTGAAGTCTGCAGACATGTGCTGCACACCTTTGAGGTTTGTCCTGCTGCTCCTGATTTGAAACACAATAACTAAAATAATGATTTATTGTTGTTGTGAAATTAAAGTTCTCAGATGTGACCCTGGAGGACAAAACCAGTCATAAGGGTCCATTTTTGGAAATTGAGTGAAAGCTGAATAAATAATAATCTTTCCATTGATGTATGGTTTGTTAGGATAGGACAATATTTGGCTGAGATACAACTATTTGAAAATCTGGAATCTGAGGGTGCAAAAAAAATCAAAATATTGAGAAAATCATCTTTAAAGTTGTTCAAATGAAGTTCTTAGCAATGCATACTACTGATCAAAAATTACGTTTTGATATAATTACGGTAGAAAACTTACAAAATATCTTCATGGAACATGATCTTTACTTAATATCCTAATGATTTTTGGCATAAAAGAAAAATGTATAATTGTGACCCATACAATGTATTGTTGGCTATTGCTACAAATATCCCCCAGCGACTTAAGACTGCTTTTGTGCTCCAGGGTCACATATGGTGAAATATGATTTTGGTCATCCTCAGACACTGATTCTGCAAATGCATTAATCTCATTAGACTCAAAGCTGTGTTTGTCTCGGATCTCGATTGAAACAGGCACAGATGCAAGCATTCAGGGATAAAGAAGAGTTGATGTCATGAAGATCAGGATGAATGGATGTAGAAACTGAAGCATGCTCTGCTCTTGATTACACGAGAAACAGACACCTTCCTTATGCATGCATATGTATGATTTTGTATATCTCATATTATGTACATTAACAAACGGTTTGTGCCAGTGCACTAAAAAGTTTCTAAACTCACATCTTGAGTAGAACCAGTATTGATTTGTCTATATGAAAATATATTCTGAGAGAAATACATTTTGAACTGTTATAAGATCATACAAGGAATGCATTTTCAGATATAAAAATCACAGATATGTTTTGGATCAATATTTATTCGCAGTGTTTAACATGAGACGATGCATCATAAATCATATGAGACACAAGTGATGTGATCTCCGACAATTAATTTTGATTTTGAGCATTCCTGAACAATAAAAGCAGATTGTAATAATGTCTTTTGCAAGTCTTCATTCCTGTTTGTTTCTCAGATCCAGTGTTTGTTTTTACAAAATAACGTCCTTCTCACGCCAAATGTGGAGCTAAAGGGACAATGTTAACTGCCACATTCGAAGAAAGATGTTAAAATGCAGGCTAAATTTGTAAGTCTCTGGATAAAAGCGTCTGCTAGATGACTAAATGTAAAGGAAATTAAAGGGTTCACTTACTCACTGCATGCAATAAAAGTGTGTACAGTACAAATGTTATTAGTGTAGTCAGATGGTGTTTGTCTATAACACATTCTGTGACTAATCAAGGCAGAAATCCAGGTATTTCCAAGAGTTCACAAACTTATTCCTGCCACATTACACATTGCATTATAATACCAACAATGAAAGCACAAAGCTGACGGGAAGGTAGGTATAAATTAGTGCTGTCAAATTATTAATCACATCCAAAATAAAAGTTTTTGTTTACATAATATATGCATGTGTACTGTGTATATTTATTATGTATATATAAACACACACATAGTATATATTTAAAAAATATTTACATGTATATATGTATATTCTTCTAGTTTATATTATAAATATATTTAATATATAAACATATTTTCCTGAAATATATACATGCATGTTTGTGTACTTATATATACATAATAAATACACACAGCACATATATTATGTAAACAAACACTTTTATTGTGGATGCGATTAATCGCGATATAAGATACTAGTATAAATACAATAAAAAGTTATTCTAATTATGATCAATATTTCTATATTATGTTTTAAAATTATGATTAACATTTTTATAAAGCCTACAAAAGACTGTTTGTTAAAGATTGCATAATTTTTTTTTTATTTTCCAACACACACAGGCCTATAGAAAGATGCATAAAACAGATCCATGAAGAAACTGTGCCAATAACACAATTACCGTGCGCTCGCGCGTGTGACGCAAAGCGGAAGTCTCGTGGTCGCACGTATGTGACGCAACGCGGAACACTGACGTTTGTTGATTTTTGGATTCACACGGACTGGTGATATTTTTAACTGTAGTATTTATTTATGATTTCAGCCATGTTTGTCAGGCAATGAAAGTGCCGTTTATGCCACTCCGCCTTAAAGACATCGAAGAAAGCGGCGCTTCATCGTCAGCGTTTCAGGTAACAGAGCAGATGATGAGCGACTGATTAATCATCTCGTGAGATTGATCTATCGTTACTCAGCAGTCCGTTTTCATCAGATTCATCTGTTTCTGATCGTGTCGGTGTGACTGACGGCAGCTGTCAGTGTAGCGCGGTTATTAACTTCAGCAGAGCACAATTAAGCACATATAAACACTAACATTAGTACATGCTAATACACAGTGAACCGTGAGAGCTAGCATCAAGTGTTATTGTTGTTTATTAGAAAAACAAACGTTTGTCCAGTGCATCGTAGTCATGTTGTCTAACCAATGTGCAGAAAAGCTTCTCAAACTGAATTTACTAATTGCAGGCAGTACAATTATTCATAATTTCTAATAGTTTTTTGTCTACCGGAAGTCACACTCATTTATTTATTTTTAAGTGCCATGGGAATATTGTGAGACATTTCAGTTAATATGTAATGTATTACTTGTTGCTAGTTACTCCTTTCAAAAGTAATAGTATTACTTCACTTACTACTTTAGTAGTAGTTAGTTACATTACTTTACTTTTCCTTCACGCCCCACAGAAGCTGTAATTCAGTATCTTACCCACAAAATTCTTCTGAAATGTTACTAACAGTATATTTCTGCCTCACCAAAATCCACACTGGATCACCGTCAGAAGTTATTACAGACACTCAAAGTAACGTTTAAGTTAAAGTGTTGTATTAACCTCATTAATTGTCATGTGTAGCTAATTGTAGCTATAATTTCTCTGATATACCCATACACGATTATATTCCATGATCAAAATAAATCATATAAGTTCATAAGAAAATGTTTCATTTTCTAAAAAGATTATATATAATTCATATCAGGATCAGAGGGATGAGGGCAAGCCATGTAACACCAGAGTAAAGTAACGCCACGTACACAACAGTGTTCAGATCATCTGTTCTCCTCACAAAACCAATGTACCAGCAATATTTCCATCCGCTGAATGTAAGCTTTTCCATATTCCGAGCTCGCCTGATGCTCTGGTAATTCATGTGTCTGTGCAAGTTATGAAAATTATGAAACTAAATCTCGGAATTACTGGATTGTTGGATTTTTAAATCAGCGGGGTTTTATGGATAGTAACTAGGGCTGAACGATTTTGGAAAATAATCTAATATTGTGATTGCGATTTAATATGCAATTATTTTTTAAAGCTCTTTATGTTCTGTATTATTCAACAAAGTCAAGCTATATCATTGTATAGTATGACCAACACACTATTATAGCTAGATTAAACATAAATGTTCTTTTCTGTAGGCCAGGCCTATATGTTACGATGAAATTAGGTGATGCATGAATTGATATGAATTACATTTTTATTTAACAACTACAATCACAGTACACTGACTGATTTGTTGAACTTCCAACCTGGTAAGCATGTAATAATTATGTTTAAATAGCCTGGTGTAAACATTAATACGAAAGTCAGTAACAAATCAGACAAACTAAAGTAGATTGCAGAAAGTAGATTGCAGCTTTACCACACTACTGTAGGTAATTCAAAGTCACTGTAATAAACATATGTAAACATGTGCACTGCACTAAACACTGTCTGTTAGCTTTAGACCAGTGGTTCTCAAACTTTTGTGGTCGCGCCCCCCTTTAAACCTATAAAAAATGTCGCGTCCAGTGTAGACTTGCGGCGCGACGCAACATGTGTAGTATCCGGTATAGACACGGTGAGTGAAGTCGAGAGCAAGACATGCCTCTTCATATTTTCTGCATTTAGCTTTTAAATGACCAGCACCTGCCTGGGTCTGTGCGACTTCATCTATGGCTTTTCTCTTCCCTTTCACAAACCGATCCATCCGTACACACATGGAACGGTGATTTGGGGGAATCACTGCTGTGTTTAAATGCGGACGTTACTCCTAAAACATTGAGTCTTCTTGGACAAAGCCCTCATGTTATGGTAATACTGGTGTACCTTATAAGTGAAGTTAATAAAATCATTACTGTTTTATTTCTTTCTTTTTTTTCTGCTGATGGCCCGCGCTCGACTTGAAGCAGCGCTGCTTAGACCGATGGGTGTGTGTCAGCAAAGTACTGTGAGATCTATGAGAGCGCAGACGTCTCCTTATGCTTTCTCTCGCTGTACTTTGATGACACACACCGATCGATCTTCAAGTCGAACTCACCTCTTCACTCTCGCGTGTCACGTGACTGAGTGTAATCGCAGCCTCTCCGATTGAAAAATCGTGTTTGTTCATATCGCGATATAATCGCAAATGTAATTAACCGTTCAGCCCTAATAGTAACTGTAATTTTATTACTGAAATCTTAGTAGTAATCAGTTACACTACTAGTTACTGCACAAAGTAGCGTAAGATTATTACTGTAACTAGATACTGACCAAAAGGCCATGAGATTATTGCCTTCTTTGTTTTGGGTCCTTTGATGCTGACTCTTTCTACCATTGCAGATCACAAGGCATACCGTGTCATAAAATATAAACTGTGATGAAAGATGCAGTATTTTCAGGAATGCTCTCTATGGTGTGTGTGAATCAGTGTGGGATCAGCTGTGTTTGTGGCGATGGCTGTCCTGTTTGCGGTGGTGGCTCGAGGATCCACTGTCCTGGCTAAACACGCCTGCTTCTCTGGAAACTTCCTGGAGGTGACGGAACAGATCCTGGCCAAAATCCCCTCGGAAAACAACAGGCTGACGTATTCCCATGGCAGGTGCGTCTGAGACTGAGCTGTTGGGCTGTGAGTGTTCCCTGAGGCCCGCTCTGATGCTCTGTGTGTGCTTGCTGCTGTTTTCCAGCTATCTCTTCCACTACATCTGCCACGAGAGGATCGTGTATCTGTGCATCACCGATGACGTGAGTATCTGTGTGGCTCCAGTCTGCTTCTGAGCTACTGATGTGTCCTTCATGAATCTTTAATATGACTCGGGAACGACGAGGGATTGGCTCATTTCGTGTTGAGTGCGCATAATCATTAGTTACAGCCCTAGATTAGTTAAAATATTTCAAAACACAACTGCATTGTTTTACTTTTTGCAAATAAAAGACACATATTTTGTCATTGAGAATTTCTTAAAAATAGTATTAAAATATTGTCTCGTTCTAGTGAAGCAAGTATCTGTATTTTGTCTCATCTTGTGAGCTAAGTGGTTTGTCACACCCCTAAGTGTCCATAAGCAGTGATATAGCTTGTAATTTTCCAAGTGTATGATATAGCTTTCATTCTTCAGGTCAACCATATATTCATGAAAATAAAAAAATCAGTTTGAATAAGGAAAGCGATAGCTTTGTCATAGTATCCTTTCAAATGTTAAAGTTGCCACAGTCATTGCATGCTTTGCATGTGCTGCCCCCCGGAAAAAAGTTCAGGCTCAGGATTTGTTTTGCTTTAACCCCTGCATTGTGTTTATATTCCGGGTTCATCTGCTTGCCTGTACAAAATATACATCATCAATAAGGTGTTTACTGAATTTCGCCTTTTAATATCTGCGTTTTACTACATTACATTACATTACCCAACCTTCCTTACAAACATGTTTACAGTTATGTGATGCTTTTCTGGTCTCAAATTGTAGCTTATTATTTCTCTCAATTTATACATTTGTAAATTTCTGTCATGATGGGTAACATAATGTTGCAAAAAGAGGCGTTAAACTTTAGCAGTATGATGAGGAAAATCACTCTGATAAGGCAAAGATACCTACATATAATAACAGCATGCAGTTATTGCAAATATGTAATGTTCGTATTTATTGTAAGATTATAGGCTACTGAGCCGGGAAGCAGGCACGTGACAAACGACTCGAGAGGTGAACTAATCAATTCTGTTTCCGGGACAGACTGTGTAGCTTAGTTTATGGGGAGGTGAGGTGATAAAAGAACAAACGATATGATAACAGTCTTATTTGAAACGCGTTGTGGACTTTGGCTATTAACATGCCTTTTAATTATATTCTGCTGAAATGACTCGAAAAAAGATTGGTTTATTTTGATGATTCAAAGTCAGTGAAATGACCGTATCTGTGAGCTGTGCGTCTCTCTTGCAGGAGTTTGAGCGCTCGCGTGCATTCGGGTTCCTGAACGAGGTGAAGAAGCGCTTCCAGACCACCTACGGCTCGCGAGCTCAGACCGCGCTGCCCTACGCCATGAACAGCGAGTTCTCCAGCACGCTGGCTGCGCAGATGGTACTGCTTCATCTGTAAACACCACTGCCTGTTTATTCTGCGCTGTGTTTGTCTGTGTGGTTAGACACAGAGGTAACTCAGTAGTGTATTGTTGTATGTTTGATCTACTCTCTTGATCGAAGACAAATTTCTCCTAAGGGAGATCATAAAAGAGAAACTTAAACTTAGACAGGGGTTTGCACTAGGGCTGGGCATTTTGGCAAAACACTAGTTTATTAGTAAATAATTCAAATATCTCCTTTTTTTTTTCAGAACCTTTGACCGATTCTCGATTTTTAACTACTTGAAAATGTGACTACAACATGATTCAAGTAACTTGTTCTGTATTAACCCTCTAGTTAAAGAAAATTCTATTCCGAGTGCAGCACATGATGTGAATGTTACACAAATCACTTGTTAAATATCTTTGCAGAAAAGATGCATGAACTACAACTACATTTTGTACAAACTTGTCTTATATGTTCAGAAATAATACGAGGAAAATGGTTTTAAAAAAAATCTCAAAAGTCAAGGTAATTCAAATTCAAAATGACTGAAGGTATAACACCTGTAGACTAGTATTAACTATAAATGTTCTGTAAAAACCATGAACAGCAGCTTTCAGTCTGTCGATTCACAAAGCTTATTGTGATTTATTGGATCGGAGGTGCGCTACAATGTTCCGTGTTTTGACTGAAAACATGCTAGACTAATCGATTCTTGGCATTTAAGAATGAGGTTTTGTCAAAAATGAGAATCGATAAAAAATGAGAAATAATTTTTTTTTTTTACCAAGCTCTGAGTAAGAACCGCCTTCTAAAGTCTCAGGATTTCTCAGAAACACACTACATGCAATACAGAACATATCTAGAGCTGGTGGATGCAGAATACATCTGATCAAACCTCTTTGACCATCAGTTATCAGTTACGACATGCAGGTGAATCTACAGAGAAGCAGAGGCATACAGGTGCATTAGCTGAGCAAATGCGTACTTAAACTGTACGGTTTGTTTTGTTTTCAAGAACCATTACACCCCTAATGTACTTTCTTAGTGTAAAGAATGAATTTGCAGTATTTGCAAAAAAGCTTTTGTTGCCTGCTGCTTGTGATTTTTCTCTACCACCTGGATGCTATCAAAAAATCAAATGTGTAAATTTGAGTCAAAATAGGATTACATGAAAGCCATTATATATGCATTCTATTGTAATAGTTATTAGTTAATTTTAATCACCAAAAAACTGAGTAAAATCAGTTGAATTCATAAAATTGTATCAACCCTAATCATTTTTAGAACTTTAACAGTAATAAGAAAAGTATGTTTTTTTTTTTCTACATTCTATATTCAAAAAATGCAGTAATCAAATTATAAAACTTTAACAAAGACGTTTGTTTGATGATGCAAAACATAACTGATCACAGCAATGATGGGAAGACATTCTGGAAACACTGCTCATTACTACAGTAATTATTATTTGCCCCTTTATTTGGTCACAGCACATCAGACTTCGTTTCAACGCTTCTTTCCGAGTACAGATTAAGAAAATAAACCTACGAGTTCTCAATAGTTAACTGAAAGGGTGTAGACGTGGGTCATGTGCTTTCAGGATTAAGAGCGTCATTGAATGCTTTCACATGACTGTGTTAATCTGTGACTCTCCAGTTAGAGAAATATGTAGCCTATGAAGTCTTTGTTTAGCAGACACTTCTTAACTTCCCACAGTCCAACAGTGATTTACAGTAAACGTACAACATTAATAGTCTCCTAGGAGCAGCTTCAGTGGTAATAATGCTGATGTAGTTCCAAAATAAACAAAAAGTGACACTTCATCACTGCCAAAATGTAAAAAAATCAGATTTTGCTGCAATGTTGTAGGCACCCACTGACCCATGAGTCAGTTAAACATTGTGTTTTCATGATATTATCAGAAGGTCACTATGTCATTATACACATGTGCTTCGCTGTTATTGCTAGAAACATCACTCGGATCCCAAAGGCTCAGACAGACTGACTGAAACACAGATGCATGTAGACGACTTGAAAGGCATTATGGTCCGGAACATCGGTGAGACTCGGTCACTTTATTCAGTTGTTATAAATGTCAGCGGTAACCTTCGAGTGAACATGTGCTGTGTTGTGTTGCTGTAGATCTCGTCGCTCAGAGAGGAGAGAGACTCGAGCTGCTCATCGATAAAACGGAGAACCTGATGGATTCTGTGAGCTGCTGTTTTAAACTTTAGTTCAAGTCACTTTATGGTGTTATGTATGCTGATGATTATTCCTCTTGTATGTGCAGTCCGTCACCTTTAAAACTACGAGCCGTAATCTGGCCCACGCCATGTGTATGAAGAACCTGAAGTTAACCGTCATTGTCGTAGTAGTGGTGCTGGTAAGTTCTGGAGCTCACCGTAGATAAAACATCACAGTCCAGTAACAGACAAACCTGAGAGAAACACAGCAATAACAGCTGGTTCTCAGTGTGTGTGTGTGTGTGTGTGTTTATCCTCTGATATTGTGTAGAAGAGTGATTTCCCCCCCCCCCCATTTCAACCAAACAGCAGATGTTGCAAAATATATCCAAAATGTTTCACGTCAAGTCACTTTTATTTATATGGAACTTTATACAATACAGATTGTTTCAAAGCAGCTGCTGTAAAGCAGCTCAAAAAAGACTATGCTGTAAAAGAGAAATAAAAATTAAGTTCAAAATAATCAAGTCATGTTCTCCACACTATGTTTCACTAAATAAAACCCAAGGAAGAAGGATGTGTAATAATACTTGCATAAACATTTTTCACTCCATCTTCTGCTGTTTTTCGATCCCGTTCTTTCTCTTGTTTTGTCTCACTGCGTTTACTGCAATGAGCATGAACAAATAGGGATGTAACGATATCAAAATCTCACGATACGATATTATTGCGATATTTAAAAAGAAAAAAAGACAAATGAAGGATTAGGAAAAAAAAATAACATTTTGTTCATTTTAAAGTTAAATTGTTCTATCTAATGCACTTTAAGAGTTCAAAATTAAGAGCTCCAACCCATGTTCTTAACTAAGATAACGGTGAATTGACTTGTAGCTGAACTTTAAAGAGGACTCAACCCTCTTTTTATTTGTGATCATCTGTCTCAGTCTAAATTACATTCACACCGGTGTTTGAGAAGCCAAACTAATTAGAATATAATAATAATAATAATAATAATAATAATAATGACAGTAATAGCCATATACTGTAAAACAATTGCACTGTAAAATAAATGAAAATGAATATTTCATAGGTATATTATTTTTGCTTTACACTACAGTAGGGAAATTACAATACTTCTTTCTTAATTTCTACACTTGAAAGAGATATTGTGAATCTGGACTGCATTTAAATCGCTAGCTGTCAGCGATTCATATTCTGCACTTTAAGCTTTTATTTTGAAGGAAACTCCAGCTTCAGTGAAAACATGTTTACAAAAACACGTCTCACTACAAATCTAGTGAAACGCTGTAATCATCTGCTGTGAAAATAAAGCCTAACTGGTGGCCGTTGTGTTCCCAAACGAGCGCTAAACTCACAGCACGTGAAATAAAGGAGTGGACTGCATTCATTCAGTGTGAACGAGTCGTTCTGAGACGCAGAAAACACCGGATCACGAGCTGATCGTCTGAACCAAGTGCAGCTTCGCTTTGAAACACGCAGCGCAAACAGACTTGATGAAGCCATATAGTGCTTTCAGTTTGAGTTTGTTTGACCGATACTGTGCCAAAGCATAATGCCCCAAAACAAATATATTTTAAAAACTACACTTTTTGCCCGGAAGACCTATCGTTTCATATCATCATGTGACAAAGATAATATCGAGACAGTTTTGCTATCGTGATATTGATAATATGGTTACATCCTTATGAACAAATGAAAGAAACCAGAGGACTTTCTGAGCAGGCCAGACACAGGTCTATAACCAACAGTAGGCAATCTCAAGGCTACAAAGCACATCTCTAGAGACCTTGACCTTCCTGTTTCCACTGTATGTGATGTTGTCAAGAAGTTTAAGTGACCCCCAAGACACTTCAGAAAGCACCCAGGAATGTTTGAAACAGATCTCTGGACTGTTCTAAGGTGGTCAGGAATATGGGAGAACTGATGCAGTTTGCACAAGAGGAGGGGAGGCTCCACAGAGAATCACCCTGGGATAACTATCCCGCTTTTACCATGGTCACTTGTCAACTCGGAAAGTTCATCCTTGGTGATCAGACCAACATTGGTGGTGTCTTCATCAAACTTAAACAGTCATATGTCAATAAGGAGTACAGTACTGGGCTCAGAGCGTTTCCCTGTTGAGGGTCCGTGAGGTCTGGGGAGGAAATCCAGGATCCAGATGTGTGGCATTCGGTCCCAGATCTGGATCAGCTTGGTAGGATTGACAGTCGCCTCACATAGCAGCTGGGTAGAGTGTGTGATATAGCATTGTCAGTAGATCTGTTGTAGTGGCACTGGATCTGTACTGTCTGGAACGTTTGTTTTTTCTCAGGAATTCCAGCATCAGCCTCTCAAAAGGGGCTTTCACACCGGAGGAACCTTTTCATAGTTCTCAGAACTGATGGCGGAAGTTCACGCTTTTTGGCGTGTTCACACCACAGGAACTAGGAATGGTTTTCGTTCTAGGAAGTCCATTTGGGGGAGCTAAATTAGCTCCTACTTCAGAGTAGGGTCTAAAACTAAACGCAGTGTACGCTGATTGGCCAAATGCATACAAAACACCGGCTACCCGGCATTTTTAAAAAGCCATGTAAAAATACTGACTCCACAAACATGGAAAACAGCGATAACGGCATTTACCTGTTGTCTGCAGCCTTGTGTTCTTTTCTCAGCCTCGATGATATTGAACACTGCAAGTTGTCATAGAAGTTTTAGATTTAGTTTTTGTGCTCTTTTAATCGTGCACATTGTGCGTTTACATTCCATCTTCGTTATCACGAAACCCACGACACGCAACAAAAACAGCTCCGGACACTGCGTGCTCTATTCACTGGTTGTTGACGTTTGTAAATGCGGGGAATAAAGACATTGCTGTCGATGCGAATGCAACTGAGAAAACGGCCCGAGGGAGAAATTGGTTCTCTAGGAACGACCCTGCTGGCTAGTTCCTAGAACTGCGCGGTGCGAAAGCCCCTAACGTATTTCATTGTAACAAGGGTTGGTGGCACTGGGTGGTAGTCATTGAGACAGCTCACCACTTCAACACAAGGATAAAGATGGTGATGAAAGCAGGTAGGTACTAGTTCAGTTTTTTAAGGAGGTGTTAAAAATGCACAAAAAGACGGCAGTCAGTGAGTTCTGGATTTCTGTCTGGACCAGCAGCCTTGCGAATGTTGACTTGGTTAAAAGTGTCTTCACGTCTGCTACAGAGACAGTGAGACTGGTGTCTGCAGGAGTGTGCATTGGAGGATCATTATTTGTGACCCTGGAGCACAAAAGCAGTGTTAAGTCGCTGGGGTATATTTGTAGCA